TATAATTATATATATTTTAAAAATGACAGCGATAAAAATAATTTGTCTTTCTATTCAAAGTTTCATAACTATTATATTATTAAAAAATATCTGTGCTTTGAGAACAAGATTTATTTCAAAAAACATTGATTTGTATAACATTTAACTATTGCAAATAATAGTAAAATGATAATATCGATTTTTGCCACGAGCATGTAACATTTTAGTGGAGAACATAATTGTAAGCTTTTAGCATGTTGGATTTTGGTCATCTTTACGCATAAATCACCAACTAGTGTTTATTCTATGTGATAATGGCGTCTCGTACACAGAGAAACACGATTCATAAGCGAAGCAAGACTCGTACTCAAGGTCGTCAGAGACGTCACAAGCACTGTGAGCTTTCCTACGTTGAAGTTTCTTTGACCTGTCGCGAAAGAGTGCCTTACAGTGATGTACAAAGGCGGGACAATACGCGCCCCCGGACTTTATACAAACGTAGAAACTTTACATTATGAAAAGCTAGCTGTTGTGACAACATTCAGTACTAGTGTAATAACTCAGACGTCAGCGCGTGACAGTAGCGAGTTTTATTATATTTTTAGTCGCCGATAATATGTTATCAACATTGAATGGCCATGTTTAATCTAGTAAGGTCATTTGTATCGTCACCGTTGACAAGTGCGTCGTCTCGTTCGACACGCTCCAGATATTATTTACATTGTGTTAAATTACTGAGGATGGCCCGAGGAACCGAAACGTCTAATAAATGCAATTAATTTTATGAAGAATAACATAATTGTGGCATCTTTCTTAGCGCGTTGGCTTTCATTTGCCCGTTTTTATTTTTATGGATAATCTGGTAAGATTATCAGTTAAAAATGAAATTATCAAATGTCGTCAATAATATACAATTAATGTCGAAGACGTGACTACATATCAATCGAATATCTTCAAAGTTAGCGTTTTAACAAATAATCCTACATTTTTGTAATGACTCTCAGAGATCGATTCGCTCGCAAAACCAAATGATTAAGAACCTTTCAAGTAAACGCTCCGTGGATAGAGTGTGTTTTTATGGTAATCGATTTTAAATCTTGCACACGACGGAATGCAGGAAGGAGAAACTGCACGTAGAAAAGACACTTCGCTATAATCACGATTCCGAAGAACCATTTTTGACATAACATGTAAGAAAATATATTAATCCTTAATAATATAAGGAAAATTTTGTAATATTTTTCTGAGGAATGCGTAATGATTTAAAAAGGAGTATATCTTAATTATAAAAAGTTAAAATATAGTTTAAAATATAGTCTTTATAAAGCGCTGAAAACAGAGAAAAAAAGAGAGTTTATCATGGTTTGGAAAGATTACTTATTACATATATAAGTTCAAGATAAATTTTTTAACAATTATTGCATAACATGAGAAGAGATATGTCTTCAATACACGTTTAATGATAAAATATTACAGCATGGATTTTTTTTCTTACAGAGTTATAGATGTACATATAAGGAAAAAATAATTTTCGAAATATTTTAAAGAATCTCTCTCACACACATACACTGATTTTAAAGTGCATGGTACAAAAAAATGTGATTGAGATAGAAATCGATGTCATCCAAGATACTTTGATGATTGCTTGTTCGTGGATTCTTGCACATATATATCCACACATATAATATATAAAAAAACGATACTTCCAATTAGAGAATGCAAGTGAGTTCAATTAGGTCACATTTCATATTCCGAAAAAAGTTTAATTCTTATGTTTCAATTATTAAAACTCGCGTTTATAGATATGCGATGTATTGAATACATCCGAAACTTTCATTAACGCTAAAATTATTTTTTCTTTAATTTCTAGCACATGACAGATAATGAAGCAGTTTTGAGATAACAAATAATGAAATAGCTTTAAAATATCCGAGACATTAAAAATACTGGGGGAAGAGACGTAATTCAGAAATACATAATCCGCTTCTTCGAAGTTGAAACGCGGCATCCGTTTTGCCGTTATTCATTTCCCTCCGGTGTCGTTTACGCTGACACTCAGGAAGGCTTAACTGAAATTTATCTTTTATTTTTACAAAGCGATGATCATTTGTCAACGAAAACTAAGAATATAAAAGTTCAGTGAAAGCAATATTGACGCGATATTGATCGGCGGAATTGTTCAATTCGCAGACTCGTATTACTTCTACTTTTACCGCTAATATTCCGAAGTACGGAAACGCTTTTCTGTCAATCAGGTGGAGAATGCCGATAATGCGAAATATATTTCTCTTATTGACGTTGATTACTAGAAGGTGATTATTAGAAGGCAACAACTGCGATATAACTGCATAATTGCATCTGACTAACAAATGATTGAACGATTTCTGAAATAGCTTGATTAAAGAAAATTACTTGATTAAATTTATTAAAGCGACGCGCTATTTAGGTAATTCCTGTAAACAATTACAATATGTAGAACGTTGCAAACTAATCTCAATAACATTAATTATTTTATTTTATAACGCATTTCATATCAATTATCTTTAAATATATCATCATAATTAATCGACAATATCACATAATTATTGCATTGTAGATGTTATATACATCCATGTGAGTTGTGAAACTATATAGCACTTAAAACGAATTGGCTTGATCAAAATATTAATAATAATAGATACAATAACGCGTTACATATAGTTAATCACTGTCTCTCATTTTATACGCATATTACGGTTAATATACCGTTTAACACCTCGCGTGCAAAGTGTTACTATCAGTCGACGCGCTCAAAAGTTTTTTTTTTCTACCGCGCGTACGATGAACGTGCGTCCGAGATTATAATTAGACGTTGGTATCGTTGCATCTATTAATATCAAGTGTATTCAACTAATTTTGCGTGTAATATTAGTATTATGATAATTAAATCGAGATTTCATACGCGAGAAATGATATCTGCTATCGTTCATACAACCGTAAAATATACGTAATAAAAGTGTTTGTAGCAATATAAATTATTTTAATTCTAATGAAGATTTTAACTGCCATTAGTATACTCGTACGCGCGTAATCATTTCTACGAAATGGATATGACAACAGCACTGACATAAATATGACTTTGACTCATCTTGCAGAAAAAGATTCCAGTAATGCGAGATATCTCTCATTGGTTTTATTAAAATAGATATTATCCAACCGAGAGAGACGAGCATGAACTTGTACACGCGCCATCATACCAATTGAACTTTTAAATTGGTCGTTATTAGCCTTATTGTTCTTTCCGCAGAATAATGTCGCGTGCGAGCCTCGTGCGAAATATGCAAGAGGCGGCGGTTGGCAATAGAATGATTAAAGGCTTAATTAATATGATCGCCACGGGGCTGGTATATTGAAGGGAGGGGATTGCATTTTAAATTCTACGCCGCCACGCGAAAGATTTATAGGAACACAAAGTCCAATAATTTCACTGGATGAACGTTTGCCGCAACGACGGTTCTCATTAGCGGTGATTTCTCATGCCTCCTTTCGCCGAGCTTTTAAAGAAGCACTCTAGTTCCCTAGTTTTTGATTTTTGGAATCTCACCCCGAAAAGTTACGGCATTGCAGTGTGCGCCGTGGCCCTTTCCACCCATCGTCGAATCGATTCGACAGAGGCTCTTCCACACGCTTCCAGTCTCGGCG